TGTACATTTGCTGTCATGTTAAAGTTATATTAAAGTTTTTCTTCATTACCCATTTAAGCCGTCTCCAGCCATTAAAGTACACGATGTCTTTCGTGTAAGTACGATGGCTCCCCTACTAGAGTAATGTGTTTATTTTGCTAAGGTGCTAAATTTCTCTTATTTGTTATAATGGGTGTAAACACAAAATCTAGACTCGCTGTAAGACAGTAGGAAACATGTAATACAACTCGGGTTTTTCTCCTTTCTAAAACGTAGCTTTTGGAAAAGTATATTGAATGATTAATTCGTTCCAAAAAAGAAAAGATATTGAAATGAAACAACGAACTGTGCAGGTATAATGGCAAATTAATAAGCATTACGGGTAGATTGACGAACAAATTGCTAAATGGGTAGGTAGGTATAAAGATGGAAAGAAACTTGATTAGTTGGATAGTTATAAGATTACATCCCCAGGTTTACACTTTTTAGTCATTGATAAGGGTAACAAATGTGCAAATTTAGTTTTAACATTTTAAGTTCATGCTTAGATGCTAAACGTGACACAGCAATTTACCTCTGAAGGAAAATCCAAATATCACTGTCATTGGCTCTGTATACATTTGGTGTGTCCTGTTGTGAGATTACATGTCTGTTTGGTCAAACTCTACGTGTGCCACCTACTCTGAAAAGACAGTTACCCATTTGGTGATGTGTATATTTTTGTGATAACTTACTTTTTTATTCCGTTTAAGTGGGTACAAGTGCTATCTGATGGTGCCAGTTGCAGATTTTTATCGCGAGTGTACACTTTCAGAACTATTCAAACGTTGGTAACAGAACAAACACAAAATAAAGTTGTAACTTGTTTCGGTATATCGAAGACCATGCCGGGAAAGGTTGTATACGCTATCATACAACTGGTCTATAAATAGATAGCCTAAGAAGTGTTACGAAAGTCAACTATGCTACATAATGGCTACTATATTTGCAACATAGCTCTTAGGAATTGCTAGCACAATGCCCTAGATATGAGCTTTAAAAGACATCATTTAGGAAGATTGTACACTCCCCCACCCCCAAAAAAAATTAAATCAACTCTTTATTTTGCAAGAAATCATCTGTTCGAAGAGTCAGCAAATCTTGGAAATCCTGAATTAATTAGTTAGTATGATATAAATTCTAATCTCACAAATTATGTTAAATCTATTTCACATTTGTGTTTTAACTAAGAGATATATTCTTATAACTAAGTATGTCATGTTACTTCGTGATTGTTCCCAAATGTTACTCAGTGATTTTTCAAGTACTAATTGTTCATTCAGTTGAAATTTCATGTATGGAATGCTTAGTTTAACGCTACAAATCGGGTTTCGTTACCCACGGTGGGCTAGCTGCCTTCCCTCTAGTCTTTCACTCCTAAATTAGGGACGGCTAACGCAGATAGCCCTCGTGTAGCTTTGCGCGAAATTCAAAACAAACTTTAATTCTAGCTACGTTTGCTAGATGTATTTACGACATTGAAGGCCCTCCAGTGGCACATCGGTATGTCTGCGGACTTACAACGCTAGAAACCGGGTTTCGATACCCGTGGTGGGCAGAGCACAGATAGCCCATTGTGTAGCTTTCTGCTTAACTTCCAACAACCAACCAACGACATTGAAGAGCAGAAAAAACGTCAATCGTTAATATTATATATGTGTTTCTATATGACTTCTCTCTTATATGTAGCCTAATCAAAATGAGCTTCCATTTGATAGAACAAGAAAGCAATCAACACAACAACCTAAGCGTTTGAAGTAGTCAAAGCAGAAAAAAAACATTTTCAATCAAAAGTTTGTTTGTTTGTTTTAAATTTCGCGCAAAGCTACACGAGGACTATCTGCGCTAGACGTCCCTCATTTAGCAGTGAAAGACTAGAGGAAAGGCAGCTAGTCATCACCACCCACCTACTCTTTTACCAACGAATAGTGGGATTGATCGTCCCATTATAACGCCCCCACGGCTGAAAGGGCGAGTATGTTTGGTGGGACGAGCACCCTAACCACCTGGCCATGCCGGGCCAATCAAAAGTTAAATTCATAAAATATGAGTATGTTTCTAACAAGTGCTAAAAATATTCAATTTTTATAACAGAACATAGTTAATTTGCCAAAATACAAACGCACTATCTAATATTGTAAACAAACCAAATTTTTAATAAGTTGTGTTAATACCGTTTGATGAAGCATTTTAATATATCTAATATATTTTAATATACGTTTACTGTTGTTTGTTTTTTTGTGGAAAATAGAACATTTTGAGGTTTGAAACATATTTCTGGATTAACAGCAGCTGTTGATTAACAAAGTTGTTTTTCTTCAATAATAATGCAATGATAAATAGGTATTTGTAACAGGGTTATCATATACTAGCTGGAGTACTCATCCCCTGAACGGAAGTTGTGTAAATTCATGATTAATGAAAGATTATCTTAGGG